GGCGGCGGGCAGTTAGGGCTGATGCATGGCCGCCGGTGATGTTCTGGTGAATCTCCGGTGAGTGATGTGGGGGCGCCAAGTGGCGTGCATGCGCAGAGAGAGAGAGAAAATGGGGGACAGCTGTGAACACGTGGAGGAGTCTGGGAGAATTCTCTGAGCTGTGGTGGCGTGCTCTCTACGAAACGCGTGGGACCCTTTCTCTGCTAACACGTGGCTGGCTTTTTATACCACTGAGAACGCGTGGCACCTTCTAGAATCTCCTGGAGTCTGCTGGACGAATTTGGACTTTTCTGAATCATTTGAGAGCTGGACTTGCTGATTGAGAATTGGGCCCCAAAAAGCTGGACTCTGGCCCATACGAAAAAAATGACCAAAAACCATAAAACTGAATTAATAAAAACAATTAAACCTAATTAGCTAATTTCCTAATCAATTCTAAAAATGATTAAAACTCATATTATCCTAATTAAACCTAAAAACAATTAACCTAATTAACTCTAAAATGAATCAATTAACCTAATTAAACTCTAAAAATGATTAACCTAATTAACTCTAAAATGAATCAATTAACCTAATTAAACTCTAAAAATGATTAAAAGTCTAATTAACTCTAAATCAATCTAATTTTCTATTAAAAATCTAATATTATTTAATATCTATTAATAAAAGAAAAACTATATTATTTTTCTATATTATCTAAAAACACTTAAACCTATTTAAAATCTATAGAAAAATTCTAAACTATTATTATCTATTAGTAATAAAAGAAAAACTATATTCCCCTCTTCTTTATTATTCTAAAGATTATTTAAAATCTTATTTATATTCTAAAAACCTATTTTAAAAAATCTATAAAATTCTAAAAAAGAGATTAAGCTATTAAAGTATTCAAAAACCCTATTTAAATTCCAGAAAAATTCTATAAAGCCTGTTAAAAATTCACAAAAGCCTATTAAACCCTAAAAATGCAGATGAATGCACATGACCCCCGTAAAAGCGCACACGAGACCAGATCGAATCGAACAGAGATCCCCGGGCATTAGAATATCCTCAAAATCACTGAAAAATCACCGAGGAGCGCACAATTTCCCGAAAATAAAACCCCGATAATCTGGACTGGGTCTGCCATATCTGATAGACAAAAATCAAGCTGTAAACTCTGATATCCCCTGCTTGTGCACAAATATCACATGTCTGAGCTGCGAATATGAATTTAAACCATGAGTCAGATAGGAGAATCGGTTGGTCAAATTTTAGGGTGCAACATCTGGGACCTTGTGATTCATTTGAGACATAATGTTACACCTGAGACTTTTGATCTTCAATTCAAGACTATGATGTCCCTTTATGTTCATCTGTTTCTTCTTTAATATTCATTTGTGCATGTTGCTTGCTCATCTTGTGGCTCAATCAAAAGAGAAATGAATGTTGATTTTGACCAATGTCAAATGCTTTCTCTTTTTATGGTTAGTACACTTGCACACACAAAGACTTTCTCTCGAGCTACCTGACAATGAGACCATTTATTTTATGCTTTATGATAGTCTTTTCATCCCCTTTCCATTTCTTCATTTTTCAAAACTTCTCCCAATTTAAAAAATTTATTGTTTTCAAACTTCACTCCTCTTTCTTAATAAACATTGACTTTGTCAAGTGATGCAGAAAATCTTTTCTCAATTTCTTTAAGAGTTTTTTTTCAAAAGATTATATATTAGTATATTCTTGTAGTGAGGCAAACCACTATACTTCTACAGAATGTTGAGAAATGACTGACATTTTTCACTTGAATATTGAGATGTACTTGTTAGAAAGTCCAAGTAAAAGTACCCATATCAAGATGATGTAAATGCTCATTTCCTCATACCCGTGGGTAGTAAGTTGAGCTTTCCACTCGAATACAACAAAATATATTTTCATTTAGAATCAATCAACAAACAACCCAACTTTATATAAACATAGATTTGCAAGTGGTTCCCATTAAGTACAACAGATGTGAGGGATGATAATCTCTATTTTTTTAGTTTTTTTGTTGCTTTTTGTGAGTTTTGTTCGAGCTTTTCCCTTTGGAAACAATAAATTTCGGTGGCGACTCTTTCTTTTTTGGGTTAAGTTAATCAATAGCTTAATCTCAACGATTTTCCCACCGCGATAACTATCACTTTTTTCGCCATTCGTGAGACTTCAGGAATTATTTCCTTATTTTCTCTAGTTTCCCCTTATCTTTGTCAATAGTTTCCCATCTGCCATTCTAATGTTTTTGCACCAATTCCTTAAACAATCTTTCCATGTCTGAATCATTAGATTCATCTCTTTCAAGGTAATAAGTAATGACTCAAAGTCCATTTTCCTTATGTACTTATTTTTGCCTCTATTAGGGTTTCTTAAGAAGGTGGTGATAAAGGATTTAAAAAAACAGTTGTAGTCCATAGTGAAAGGGTAGTTGGTAGCCTCTATTAGGGTTTCTTAAGAAGGTGGTGATAGAGGATTTAAAAAAGCAGTTGCAGTCCATATTGAAAGAGTAGTTGGTAGCCTCTATTAAGGTTTATTAAGAAGGTGGTGATATAGGATTTAAAAAAGCAGTTGCAGTCCATAGTGAAAGGGTAGTTGGTAGCCTCGCTCCTAGGGAGGTTGTTAGAGGTTTCGCCTCTTTTGCTTTGCCCTTGATGAATCCCTTTGTTGTAGATAATTTCAAGTAGGAATGCAAGACTCATACTTGTATCTGAGCACATCATTGTGTTTTTGGCTATGTCCACTCTAACAATAAAGTAAGGTGGTGGTTGGAATCCCAATCTTGCCCAAGAACCTAGAATGCGACGACATAAATTTTAGCAGTGTGTGTGGACTAAGAAACGTTAAATGTCATATCTGCATTTGCTGGTAAGGACGATCCCACCATGCTTTCACCGAGGAGGATTCCCATTCAGACCGAGGAATTCTTTCCCCCCAAGGAAACAAAAGTATGTGTAACAAGTATAAAAGGTGTGACATCCATTTTCACAAATGTTTAATTTCCTTAATAAGTTTATGCCTTCCTTTCAATGACTTTAAGATGGGCGTTTAAAATCATATGGTGATTACCCCATTTTATTTGCATATGGTGAGATGATATTACGTCAAAATGTTTCTTCCCGGTGTGAGTACATGAAAAGTGTGCCAACTTTAATGCTCTTTTTCCACCTTTTTAACGTCTAACGTCATAAGACAGATTCAACACAGGGTTAAGACTTTCCCCCACAGGCATGGCCAGAAAGTATTTGAGGTCTAGCCTATTAGTGTGAAGAATTTCAAATACAGGTACTACCTGACTAGCCCTCTTATTGAGATGGCCCATGCAAGTATGTGTGATATTAAACTTAGGTTCCCTCTGAATATAAGGATATGTTTAAAAAGTTGTGGCGTCAGAGTCACTTTTTGGCTAGGCCGAGTCTTAAGTCTACCTCCTGGATGACTTATCTCAGAAGGAGACCTATCAAAAGAGAAATTAGTGGCCTTGTAAAAATGATTGAGATTTATCTAGGGCGTCATGCCTATCAATGTCAATTATGAGAATCTATGAGGGAGAAAGGAAATAATAATGAGATATTTTAATCAAATATAAGTTTGATTTAAATGAGAGGAAGAAAGGTGAAAAAAATTTTGATTAAATATTTATTTGGTTTATAAGTTAGAGAAGAGTTATAAAATTAACTTACTTTTTTACTTTTAAAATCTTACGAACTCATATTAAGTAAAATAATTTTGAGTAAACTTAATCAAGAGCATTTTTTTAGATGAATTCATAAATAAAAATCGTGTTCTTTCATAAAGACACAAAATATTTAATATTTTAAATATTTAAAAATATGTATTTTTAGTTTCAATTTATAAATGACTATTTTACATTTGATTTTTTTTTAATTTAAAAGTATAATAATGCAATATTTAGAAATAAATCAAAATGTTTTAATTTATTGTCACACACGTGCGTGTGTGCTATGCGTAAGCACACACGCACAGACACGAGTGATGATCAACTTACTCAAAAAATAAGTTTTTTTTAACTTACTCCAAATCATAACCATTGAATTGAATCTAATCTAGTGATTAATTAAGTAAAATGACTAATTTAATCATTAAATTGGATTCAATTCAAAGACTATATATATATATATATATATATATATATATATATATATATATATATATATATATATATATATATATATATATATATATATATATATATATATATATATATATATATATATATATATATATATAAAATTAACAAAATACTATTAAATTATAAATATTAATTTTTTATTAATTATAGAAAAAACGTTATATATATATATATTCCGTCACATTATATTAATACTCCCTCCGACTTTTTTTATAAGGAACAATTCACATTTTTAAATTTATTAAATAATTAATATATTTGATATTTATTACAGACGAATATATTAATTTTTTAATGAATTTAAAAAAATGAAATGTTTTCTATAAAAAAGATTGGAGGTAGTATAATTTTTAAATTAATAATATAAAATAAGTGATGAATTTTTATTAAATGAAAATCTAAAATTATTTTATACAATGAACTCATTAAACTCATATATTAAGCATAGATTGAAATTTATGTGTTTAGTTTATGATATTTATTATTAGAGAAATTTTATAAATAATAGAGAGAAATTTTATAAATAACCAAGACAATTACGTATGAAAGTAATTCCACGTGTCAAAACCTATTTGGATGGACACTACAAAGCCTAAATTTTGTGTGAAACAAGCTTGTATGTATAAACTCAGACCAACGCAAAAATATATGAAATAAATCCTAAGAAAAACGGTGAAAGAGGAAAAAAGGAGAGAGTGGTTCTTCACACTCTCGCATTTCTCAGATCAGATCCAATTTCGAATTTCTTAGATCCAGCTTCGTTCTCAATCTTCACTCGAATTTACGATTCACGATTTCAATTTCGGTCTTACGGAGCAATTAGGTTTTCTGAGATCGAATGGCGTGTATCAAAGGGGTTAATCGATCGGCGTCAGTCGCACTGGCGCCGGATGCACCATATCTGGCTGCCGGTACCATGGCTGGCGCTGTTGATCTGTCATTTAGCTCATCGGCAAACCTCGAAATATTCAAGCTAGATTTCCAATCCGATGATCCCGAACTGCCTCTCGTCGCTGAATACCCTAGCTCCGACCGCTTCAACCGTCTCTCATGGGGTAGAAACGGTTCTTCGTCTGAAGAATTTTCTCTTGGTCTCGTTGCCGGTGGATTAGTTGATGGAAACATTGACATATGGAATCCTCTCGCTATGATCCGGTAATTGCACATTTTTTTCTTTCAATCTTGCGCCTTGATTTTGTTTTGATATCGACAATTGTGTGTTTTTATGGATTCTGAAATGATTAGTTTTATGTGCATGGCTTGGAGACATGCTTAGACATCAGTGATTTGGATAAGTAGAAAGGTTTCTCCAGAGGATATAAATTGATTTTTATGCAAATCAAATTCGACTTGGAAGTTGCCTAATTTTTTAGAAATAGTTCAGTTACAATTTTCACAAATTGCCAAAGGATTTGTCATTACATTTTGCATTTCCTATTGTTTTTTAAAGGTTCAAATCAAAGGATTAATTATAAAACGATTTCGCTCAAAAGTTCTTCCTTAATCTTTTGTTATTTGGCTAATTCATTCTAGTGCTCTTATTGATGTTCATTATATTATGGAAGTCACTAGATTGTTCAGAAATGTGTGTTTTACTGCACCGGTCCTACTCGCTGCTAGTTTGTGAGAGTAATGGTCTCTCTGAGTAAGAAAATCCAAAAGAAAAAAGACAGGACAAGGTTTTACTGATGAGTATATCACTATGATTGGGTCCTAAAATTCACACTTTTGTCTGCATAATTTCATTAATTTTATTTTATAAAATATGAACACAATGCCATGCTATCCAGAGTTTTAAGATGTGAGCAGTTAGATGAGTGGTGGTATCTTGTCTGTTGATGCAAGTGATGCATAGTCTTGGCTGTCATTTATGTTTTATATATATTCTATGTTAAACTCAATCTAATTTACTCTCGAATTATAACACTACAGAGCGGTTGTCAATTGGTATGAAAATAGACAAACACAGTAGTTTCTGTTTTGAGTAAAACCCATGGAGGTTCTTTGCTAGCTTCATGTTTATCTTTCGTTTGGCTGGAGTTGTTGATAAAATACTTGTAGTTATGTATATGTAGGTTCATCTCTTGATTGATCTTTGATATATTTTATCATCTCATACAATTTTCTCAATGCCTTTCTGATGATTTTTTTCTTATAAATTTTCCAGCGCGGAGGCAAATGAAAGCTCTCTCGTTGGACACCTTGTAACGCATAAGGGACCGGTATGTTCTTCTCTGCTGTTATGAGCCCACCTAGCGAGTTTTAATTGCTCTCTGCATTAATGTAATGTTGGTCAGTGGAATCATATCGTTGACATTCTTATATTTCAGGTTAGAGGTCTTGAGTTTAATACAATTACACCAAATCTTCTTGCATCTGGGGCTGAAGATGGTGAAATTTGCATATGGGATTTGACCAATCCTTCAGAGCGTACACATTATCCAACATTAAAGGTCAAACATTTTTTCCCTTTGATGGTCTTTAGGCACCCCTTCTTTTGATGGGTTAACAATCTTTAAATATCTATGGCTTTATAATTTGATAATTTTACACATAGTGTATATGATCACCGTGCAGGGTAGTGGTTCTGCTTCCCAGGGGGAAGTTTCATTCTTATCTTGGAATAGTAAAGTTCAACACATATTAGCTTCCACTTCATATAATGGGACCACTGGTGAGGAAGGGATTAAATTCAACCTTTATATTTGGTTCTTTTTGTTGTATTGTTTGGTGGGATGATAGATTTATTTATTTTAATTTTGGTTTTATTCTCCAGTGGTCTGGGACCTAAAGAAGCAAAAGCCAGTGATAAGGTAACTTGATCATCTCTTGCCTTCCGGTTTTGAAATTTTTTGATATTGTATTGCGAAAAAGAACTCATTGTAACCTTATATGTCCTTTGTGAACTGACAGCTTTGCAGACTCAGTTAGACGGCGGTGCTCAGCTTTGCAGTGGAATCCTGAAGTTATTACACAACTTGTTGTTGCATCAGATGAAGACGGATCTCCTTCTTTAAGGGTATAGTCACTGCATTTTGTCTGTTTATTTTGAAGATAATGTGTGTTGACTTTATATGAGTGTGTTGATGCAGCTGTGGGATATGAGGAATGTAATGACACCAATAAGGGAGTTTGTAGGGCACACTAGAGGTAATGACAACCATTCATATATTTATGATTCATAAATCTCAGTGTCTGCCTAGTTATTTCAATATCAATGCTACCTTTTCTTTTTGTTATATTCTTCTTATCTTCCATCAATCCATTGAAAAAAACATATGGGAAGCAAATGAGTAACTAGTAAAAAGTAATTAAAGTTTGACGGTTGTAAATCCCAAATATGTGTCAATTGTATATGACAAGTGAATTGATAGAGTGCCAGGAAGCATAAATACAACGTAGAACATGTGTATACTACACCGGCTTGGAGGTGGAGCAAATTTTATATATTTTAGGATGCGATATAGCTCTTGGCTGTGGTAAAAAGTATGATATGTAAAATTTCTCTTCCTTAAGGATTTTAGCGGTTACATTATTTAGAATTTTTGTTACCTATGGTGTTCTCTTCCTTAATACTGTATTTTCTAGTTCTTTCTTTTTGATCAAGTAAAAAGATTATTGATTGTTGCTGTTACAATAATTTGAAGATTGATGGTAGCATCCTTTTTATATGATTTACAGGTTTTCTGGATCTTAATTTTATTGTTCTTTTAGCTTTTACTATAAAGCTACACAGGCTCCCTCACTGTTTTAAGTTTATCTGACTTTATTTTATCGTCTAAATCTCTTATATTAGGAGTTATTGCAATGTCATGGTGTCCCAATGATAGCTCTTATTTGCTTACCTGTGGCAAAGATAGCCGGACCATATGTTGGGACACTACTACTGGAGAGGTGCTGTTTGGCATTCTTTTACTGCTTTCACATTTGTTTTGAAGAATTTCTACATTACATGATTTGGCTAGATTTTTTTTATAGGACATTTGTCCAATAGTGACAATTTTTCTTTTTTGATTGGGGGTGGGCACAGATTGCCTATGAATTGCCAGCTGGAACCAACTGGAACTTTGATGTCCATTGGTATTCTAAGATACCTGGAGTAATATCAGCATCTTCTTTTGATGGAAAAATTGGCATATACAATATTAAGGTACATAAGTATACTCTGGAGGTTTTTTTTTTCCGGTGTGGTTGGAATTTGTTTTGCAATTATGTGAAATTATATTCATATTGAGACTGATTTGCAAGGAATGATGTGATGAGGAAAAATATACTAGATCAGTCGTATTGAATTATTTTTTCCTTGATTATTATTGTTCACAAATTTAATAGATAGCTGTTATTATATTACATGCTGAACTGCTGAAGTAGTTTCATAAAGGGTACAATGAAGTATTTTACCCTGCAATCTTTTTTTAAATAACCAACTTCGTATCTTCTTTCCTGCTATTCTGTTTGTAAGATCAAGTTACTATATATCTTGATCTCCATACCATCCCTTATCGCTTCATTCATGCTATAAATTGTAAGATAATTAGTTCTTGTTCAAGGTATAGAAATGACACCACCGATCTCGAAAATTAGAAATTCCATCTCGTAAGTTAAATTCTTGTGTTTTCCTCTATAATTTCTTTTAATCACCCCGCCTTTGACTATAATCGGACTTTACATCTATCAGCTTTCATATATAGAGTTGGCTTATGTTATTTTAACATTTTGCTTAGGATTTAGGCCTTCATATATCTTCTAGTAGATGAAAAAGAAGCCATTGTGAGCACAGAGTTCCTTATGTCCTGTCAATCAGTTTTCATGTATAGACGTAGCTTATATTGTTATTTTAACAGTTCGCTTAAATCTTAGGTCTGCATATATTTAAATTTTTAGTTTAAGTAGGCAAAGAAGAAGTCAAGGCACCAATGGTATAGGCAAGTAGAATAAGTCATGCCTATTTCGGTTTTTAAAATTTTTTTTTTTATATATATTTTAGGCATAATCTGCTTTCTACATCCCTTCCTGCAGATCTCTTTGCTAACCATAATATTAATGGCAACATATGTGATTATCTGCAGGGTTGCCGTCAAGATAGTTCTGGAGAGAGTGATTCTGGTGCAGGTGATGCTTTTGTTATTTTACTTCTATCAAATAAGTTACTGAATACCATATTTATTTTCTTATAATCATTTGCATCTTCTGTACTCAGTCTATGTAGATTTTTTTTTTGTGCATTTGGTAGTGTATGGTGTTTGGTTTTGTTTTTTTGGTTAGGCAAGGCTTTTGTTCTTGATGCATGATTTGGTATAAGATATTTTTGGGAATCTCTGAATGAAACTTGTGCTTTCTGTGCAGTACCACTGCGAGCTCCAAAATGGTATAAACGTCCTACTGGAGTCTCTTTTGGCTTTGGGGGTAAACTTGTGTCATTTCATCCCGGTACTTCTGCTGGGGCTTCAGAGGCAAGCTTTTAGCACTTTGATTATATTTCTTTGTCCAATTTCTTTAACCTTTCAGTTGAATTCATCCTATGTGTAATTTTCCAGGTTTATGTGCATAACATGGTTACTGAAGACGGTCTGGTGAGTCGTTCATCTGAATTTGAAGCTGCAATACAAAATGGGGAAAGACCTTTATTAAGGGTCCTATGCGATAAAAAGTCTCAGGAATCAAAGTAAGTTCTGTCCACGAAGCGCAACATTGTTCTATGTTGTTTGCATTTGATTGTCAGCCTAACATTTTGGCCATGGCTCTTGCAATTCTTGAGTGCTTTTTATTGTTATGGCAGATCTGTGGAGGAAAGGGAAACATGGGGATTTTTGAAGGTTATGTTTGAAGATGATGGAACCGCAAGAACAAAACTTCTCACACACCTTGGTTTTGATGTACCTAGTGAAGCGAAAGACACAGCTAATGATGATCTTTCCCAGGAAGTAAATGCTCTTGGACTTGAGGACACAGCTGTTAATAGTTCAGGACACGTGGCTACTAATGAAACCTCTATTTTCTCTTCTGACAACGGGGAGGATTTCTTTAATAATCTTCCCAGTCCTAAAGCTGATACTCCTCCATCTACAGCTGTTAGCAACTTTGTTGTTGCAGATAATGCAAATGGTTCAGAGAAAATCGAAGATGATGATGTGGAAGTGGAAGAGAGCAGTGATCCTTCATTTGATGACCTTGTTCAGCGTGCTTTAGTCGTTGGGGACTATAAGGGGGCAGTTTCTCAATGCATATCTGCTGATAAATGGGCTGATGCTTTAGTTATTGCTCATGTGGGTAGTACCTCCTTGTGGGAAAGTACACGGGATCAATACCTTAAGAAGAACCGATCACCATACTTGAAGGTAGTTGATATTTACATCTGAGAATCTATTTAAATTTCATATCCAACGAAAATTCTGTCAAATTTCCACCCACATCTTATAATTTATTTAAATTTCATCATATCCAACAAAAATCCTGTCAAATTCCCACTAGAGATTATTTTTGTTAATCTCTGTTCATTTCCATATTCAGGTTGTATCAGCGATGGTGAGCAATGATCTCTTGAGCCTTGTGAACACTAGGCCTCTAAAATTCTGGAAAGAAACCCTTGCTCTTCTTTGCAGTGTAAGTCTCGTTGGTCTTTGCTGCTGGTCTAACTGTCTTTTTGGTTAGTTTTTAAGCACGGTCATCACTTTTTATCTTCCTAATTCTTATATTGATTAAAAGGGATGCTTTATCTATTGTTTCGGATTTTGATTGGATAAAGTTCCAAAACTAGAATTTGTTGTAGTATAAGCTATGATCTCCTCAATGGGACATTGATTTTGATGATAGGGTAATTTTATAGTACACTGGTATAATTCTCGTCATCTCATATTAACAGTTTGCTCAGAGAGATGAATGGACTATGCTTTGCGACACACTTGCTTCAAAACTCATGGGGGCTGGCAATACATTAGCTGCAACTCTTTGTTATATATGTGCTGGAAATATTGATAAAACAGTTGAAATTTGGTCGAGGAGCCTGTCAGATGAGCACGAGGGGAAATCTTATGTTGACCTTCTTCAGGTAAGATTGACATTCTTATTTGTACTTGTGAATATGTATGTGTAATGTAAAACTCACCCTTACCAATATTACACCTTGACAACTGACAATTATATATTATTAGGATTTGATGGAAAAAACTATTGTTCTTGCCTTGGCAACTGGGCAGAAGCGGTTTAGTGCCTCTCTGTGCAAGCTTGTTGAGAAATATGCTGAAATTTTAGCAAGTCAAGGGTTGCTGACCACAGCAATGGAGTATCTTAAACTTTTGGGTTCTGAAGAACTTTCAACTGAACTTGTGATTTTGAAGGACCGAATTGCATTGTCTACAGAACCTGGTAAAATTTTTCTTGGATTTCTATACAGCACGTCGACATGGTTAAAATAATGAGGAAAATGATAAAAATAGAGTGCTATTTATCAGAAAGTGACTCTTCCAATGCCACTTGTTAATGAATGCTTCAATTACTAGCACTTTCGTATTTTATTCTAGTGAAATTGCATTACCATTTTAATTAGGTAGTGAACATTAGTTCATAGTTATATTTTGCTGTTATCTAATGTTATCAAATAGCGGCGCCATGACTTCTATGGCGATTATACATGGCAGTTTTTGGGCTCGCCACATTGAAAAATGTTGAATAATGAGGGAACAAGAGGAAAGTTGGATTAAATCCGTGTGTTTGAATTACACAGCGGAGCTCATTATATATAATAGGAGGAATAAATGTCATAGTAATTACTAAATAATGTATTCCCTATTTACACGATATCTTAATTACTTAAAGAATATTCTATTTACATAATACGGAATATTCTGATATCTAACACTCTCCCTCAAGCTGGAGCATATATGGCATATGCACCAAGCTTGTTACAAATATAATTAATTTGAGGACCTCTCAAAGACTTGGTGAAAAAATCAGTTTACTGATCATTTGAATTGACAAAACTAGTGCTGACATCTCCAGATAAAATCTTCTCTCTGATGAAATGACAATCAATCTCAATGTGTTTGGTTCTCTCATGGAACACTGGATTTGATGCAATATGCAGAGCTGCTTGATTGCCACAAATAAGTGTCGTATGTGAAACATCCCCGAATCTCAGGTCGTGAAGCAACTATTTGAGCCATATAAGCTCACAGGTTGTTGTTGCCATGGCTCGATATTCTGCTTTCGCACTTGACCTTGCCACAACACTTTGTTTCTTACTCTTCCAGAAAATTAAGTTACCACCCAAGAAAACACAATAACCTGAGGTGGTTCTCCTATCAGAAGGAGAGCCTGCCCAATCTGCATCTGAGTATTTTACAACTCGAGTGTGGCCTTTGTCTTCATAAAGTAAGCCTTTTCCTGGACCTCTAATATATTTTAAGATGCGAATCTAAGCTTCCCAATGCCCTTCACAAGGAGAGTTAAGAAATTGACTTACCACACTAAAAGGAAATGAAATATCTGGGCGAGTAATTGTGAGGTAATTCAGTTTTTCAACTAATTTTCTATATTTTTCAGGATCGCAGAGTGGCTCCCCTTGAGCTAACATAAGTTTAGCATTGGGATCCATCGAAGTGTCAACTGACTTGGCATTTAACAGTCCTGTCTCCTCCAAAATATCCATAGCATACTTCCTTTATGAAATTACAATCCCCTGTTTAGATTGGGCAATCTCTATGCCCAAGAAATAACGAAGTCTGCCGAGGTCTTTTGTCTGGAAATGGTGACAAAGGTGTTGTTTTACATGTGTGATTCCATGATGATCATTACCTGTAATGACAATGTCGTCTACACTCACAATTAGGTAAATACACCCAACAACTGAGTGACGATAAAACACTGAGTGATCAGCTTTACATCGCGTCATACCAAACTGTTGAATAACAGTGCTACATCTCTCAAACCAAGCCTTAGGAGATTGTTTAAGACCATACAAAGACTTCCGAAGACGACAAACTAGTCCAGAAGACTCCCCTGAGCAACAAACCCAGGAGGTTGCTCCATATAAACTTCCTCACACAAATCACCATGGAGGAATGTGTTCTTGATGTCAAGCTGGTAAAAAGGGTTAGTGGCGAATAGCTGCCATAGAGAGAAATAATCCAACCGAGGCCATTTTAGCCGTGGGAGAGGTGTCACCATAATCTGAGGCCAAACATCTGTGTATAACCTTTGGCCACTAAACGTGCCTTGAGACGATCAACTTGTCCATCAGGCCCAACTTTGACTGAAACCCCACCTGCAACCTACAACAGATTTCCCAAGAGGAAGAGGAACAAGGTCCCACGTGCCGCTGTTCTGAAGAGCACACATCTCATCAAGCATAGCTTGTTTCCAGCCAGGGTGAGATAAAGCATCACCTACAATCTTAGAAATAGACACAGAAGACAAAAAGGAAATACAAGCATAATGCAAAGAAGACAAGCGATGATAAGACAAATTAACATAATGAGGAGATGGATTGCGAGTGGAAACGTATACCTTTGCGAAGTGCAATTGAGAGATCAGTCTCAGGGGGGGCAGGGCCGGAGGGGACGAAGGAGTTGGATCCGGAGGGGAGTCTATGGTGATTTCTGCATTAGCTGATGGTAGTGGTGGTGGTCGACGCTGATAAACCTGCAAAGGAGCTGAAGGGGGTGGGTTGGCGGGCAAAGGAGACAAAACTACGTTTGGTGGGGCAGTAGTGGGAGATGAAGAAAACATGGGTGATGGGGGCTGGGACCCTGTAAACGTCCCAAAGTAAGGGACTGACTCAGAATGTGACATCAGCAGAGACGAAATATCGATGAAGAGACGTGGAGTAACATTTATATCCCTTTTGGGATCTTGTGTAGCCTAAGAACACACTTATGAGAATGAGTTGAGAGTTTGTCTAGCCCAGGACTAATATTATGGACAAAACATGTAGACCCCAAAAATTGGATAATGAGAGAACAAGAGGAAAGTTGGATTGAATCTGTGTGTTTGAATTACACAACGGAGCTCATTATATATAATAGGAGGAATAAATGTCATAGTAATTACATAGTATTCTATTTCCTATTTACACGATATCCTAATTACTCCGAATATTCTATTTACATAATACGGAATATTCCGATATCTAACAATAAATATTGATATTGTGGGTTTTTCCGCCATAATCCGCTATAACGGGGCCGCATAGCGGTTGGTACTGTGGGATTTTGGCTCTCCGTCATTGACAACATTGTTGTTATCATACGCGTATCATTATACACCCAACCATATTTCCTTTTGTTTTTATGAAGGAAGGGTTGCCAAAAAGCTGAAGTAATAAATAATATCTTCATATTGGCTGTTTTAAGAAGACTTAATTACTCAAGTGATTACTTATAACCATTCTTTGAACATTGTTAATAACTAGTGGAGTAGTTAATGGTTCATAAACCTCAGTAATTTTAATATTCATTTGGTGAAGGAACATGATCATTTTGATATTAAGGACTCTCAATTGGAGAAGTCTATGTTCATGGTTTTGTTAGTTAGGTAATGATCATTTTTGTTATGACTTTAGCTGTCTAGTGTTTCCTTTATTGCTTGAAGCTTTCTGCACACCTATATTCTATTCATTTTTTCACTTTTCTAATTTTTATTGCAGAGAAAGACTTAAAAACCACTGCTTTTGAAAATTCTCAATCACACAGTGGATCCTTTTATGCCGCTGATAATTCCAATTATAATATAAATTATTACCAGGTAGTTACTTTAACTTTGTTCTTTGGCTTTTTCTTTCGGTGCAAAGCACAGTGTCTCTGCAATTTGAGACTATACCTTTGAATGTCTGTTGGTCAGGATTCCGTATCCCCTCAGGTGCCACATGGTGTTTCTGGAGTTCAATATCCTGCAAGCTATTCACAGCCATTTGATCCTAGATATGGGAGTGGGTACGGTGCTCCTGCTCCACACCAGCAACCCCAACAACCCAATTTGTTTGTTCCATCACAGGCTACTCAGGTTCCCCAACCTCCCCAGGTACATTATCATATATATGTCATGAAGAAGGAACAAATGTTGCACACGTGGGTGATATTTATAGGGCTGTGCTCAGTGGTCAATGAGTTTGATTGAGTTGGGGCCACCCTTAGGTTTGATGTGAAAACAGAATGTGGATCTACATACTGTTCATCATTAAGTTGCATTAACTACTTATGAAAGACATTAAAAATTGTGAGCAAAGGCCAAATTTCATCCCTTTAATATATTTCTCTTTTAAAAATCCATAGTATGAAAGTTGCCTCTGTAATTGCATTTATACGGTCCATAAAATATACTTATTGTTGAGATGATTGCGGTCAAAGAGGACTAGTTTGATATGAAGCACTTTCCCACTTGACCACTCTTCCGGTCAATCTATTGCTAATGTCTGAAGTGCACCATATGTAGCATATATTTATTGTCAGATTTGACTCTGAATGTTTGGTTTTGAAGTGGAAAAAAGTTGATTTGGGATTTGAGTGCAAACTCAAGCAGTGGCATCTCTATCATTTATATACAACAAGTACATTTGAAAATTCTTATCTGCTATGAGACATGTATAGAATATTATATGAAGTATTTTTCCTTTATTTTTCTTGTTTGAAGACACAATGGAGAAAGTTTTTAACACTGGCTCACTCTTATGACTATCATTTAGTGAGCTTGAGTAGTGATTTCTCAATGTATACAAAATTTATATTATGCTTTAGTTTTATATTTTAAATACTTTTATAACAGTTGGTTCAAGTGATTTGGATGCTATATTCTTGAACAAAATTTGAATTAGTTGTTATTGATGATTTTCTCTTATTCCTTCTAATCTTCAATTCTTTCTTTTGTGTAGCTGAACTTCTCAAATACTGCTGTGGCACCAGCTCCTGTGAGAACTTTTGATCCTCAAACTCCTCCGGTGCTTAAAAATGTGGAGCTATATCAGCAGCCCACATTGGGTTCTCAATTGTATAATGTCAGTTAATCTTTGCATTCAAATTCAATTATATGAAGTATATTTCTACTGCTTGTGAGTTATAAAATGGTTTTCTATATTTCAGACAAACAACAATCCACCATTCCAGCCTACCAATCCACCTTACCAGCCTACTCCTCCTGCTCCATCACAAATGAACTTGGGTCATGGCCACAACGTACCACCACAAGTTTTGGCACCCACGTCGAATCCAATGGGGTTCATGCCAATCCCTAGTCCTGCTGGCGTTCAAAGACCTGGGGTGGGATCAATTCAGCCTCCCAGTCCCCCGCAATCGCAATCTGTGCAACCCGCTGCTGCACCGGCAGCTCCACCACCTACTGTGCAGACTGCTGATACTTCCAAAGTACCTGGTAATATTTCTTTTATTTTTTCAGCAACTTTGGATTTTTCTTTGAATGAAAATACTGACTAAATATACTGATGTTTATTTTATGAGTCCGAAAGCATTTGTCTTGAAAAATGATATGTATTTCACTTATCATGTTTTCCTTGTCCTATTCTAATTTGGTTTTTAAGTCTTGCTTTGACTATGTCAGCACACCAAATGCCTATTGTTACAACATTGACAAGACTTTTCAATGAGACATCGGAAGCACTCGGAGGTTCACGTGCAAACCCAGCAAAGAGGCGGGAAATAGAAGACAACTCAAAGAGACTTGGTGGGTTGTTTGCTAAGTTGAACAGTGGGGACATCTCCAAAAATGCTTCTGATAAGCTACTTCAGCTTTGTCAAGCGTTAGACAATGGTGATTTTGGTACTGCCCTTCAAATTCAGGTAACTCAATTGAATTGCAAATTCTAGCATCAACCTAGCTGCGTCGCACTCGTAGCCAAGCATCAATCTTACATTTAATTGCTTTACTTACGTGTTGCAGGTTCTTCTCACTACTACTGAATGGGATGAATGCCAGTCCTGGTTAGGTTCACTGAAGCGTATGATCAAGACTAGGCAGAATGTCAGGTTAAGTTAGAAAGAAGATTTTGTTTTGGTGATTTTGGAGAATTTAACTTGCAGTGGTGATTGCTGATATACTCTCTCCATCGTCCACAACAAGACTACTGCCTCTAGATTGAAGGTGCAGGGTTTTGGTTTTATGCACTTCTACAAAATTCTAGCAGTGTACAGCTTTCACATTGACTGTTATTAAAAGCTGTTGCTCAAAGTAGTGTTCAGGAAATGACCGGAAAACGTTTACGACCAATATTTGTAATAGAAGTGTTTTATCTGTTTGTTTATTATAAATTTCAGATGGTTTTTTCCTCACCACACCTTTCTGGTATCAGTGGTGATGCTCCAAGCTGTTCTAGTGTCAGTTATAGATTGATATTTCCTTTTCTTTGAAAGATTTTTTTGTATCCCAATAGTCATAAGAGTATTGATTTAATTGCCGAACAATTGAATGGTGTTTTTAATCGACAATCATTTAAATGCTCGAAGTTGGACATGTATATGATATAGAAATAGATAGGGGTAGCAAACTGGGCTAGCCGTCCTGCCCCGCCTTAAGTCCGCCAAAGAGAGCGTGGTGGGTAAGTCTATCCTGTCCTGCCTTAAGCCTGATAAAAAGAGCGGAGTGGGTAAGCCTTACCTACCAAGTGGAAATTGACATAAAAATTTAGTTCGTTCCGTCAATGTGATAGACCCGCCTTAAGCCTGATAAAAAGAGCGGAGTGGGTAAGCCTTACCTACCAAGTGGAAATTGACATAAAAATTTAGTTCGTTCCGTCAATGTGGCAGGTTAGTAGGCAGCGGTTTATAGCCCATTTTTTTTAATCATTTTTTAAATTATTTAAAATGTTTTTATTTTTTTATTATTTTTTTTATATTTCAATAAGAAAACATCAAACAAACAATTAGAGAGAAAGTTAACCTTGAAGAAGAATCAACAAGTATTCACCTAAGATCGAAGTAGAACCATCGACAAATATTAATCTTTAATCAACTAAAATATTGAGTGTTTGATTATTAGGATTAACCATCAAGCAACTAAAGTTTAAGTTCAACTAACAAAAACTACAAATATTAAGTATAACTTCAAAGTTTAAGTTCAACCAACCAAAATCATAATAACATTAACTAATCGATCATAAGTTAATATTAGATGCATTCTCTTGGCTGAACAAGTTGGACCCTTTTTTTTCATCTTCACTTTCATCATCATTTTCATCTACATTACAAAACCATCATACTAAAACTAATTACAATTAATTATCAAAGGCATGCAACTACATTACAAAACAATCATACTTAAAAAGTAATTACAATTAATTATCAAAGACATCTTTTTTTTCATCTTCACTGTCATCATCATTTTCATCTACATTACAAAACCATCATACTAAAAGTAATTACAAGTAATTATCAAAGGCATGCAACTACATTACAAAACAATCATACTTAAAAGTAATTACAATTAATTATCAAAGACATGCAACCAATTGCGGGAACAAAGCAATGCTTCAATATTTTTAGACAACAGGCAATTTCTATAGTTGTTAAACACTCTAGAACCAATACTAAAGGAAGATTCTGATACAACAGTAGTAATAATTTAACAACTCTCTAGCCATTATTGAAAGTTCGGGAAATTTTTGTCCAGTGTGATTCCACCATCGTATTACATCCAAATGATGTTTGTAATTTGTAACACCCTTCTAAACCCCACAAAAAATATATGAATAATCAGAATAAATAATCATGCATTCACAAAAGAGCGTCACACATAACTTTCAAACATCAAAACCACCTGTCATGCTCATTAACATTTAATGAATAATTATGCTTTTCAAGATTTCACATTGCATGTAGCAGCGGATTCAATTTATATTCATAATTCTCTTAACAGAACATTCATCATCATCACATAATTCAACATTACTTAGGCACCAAGGCCAACATCATAATATTCCAATGAATACAAAAACATAGCGTAGAGTACATAAAGTATCTCTAAAACATAAACCAAACGATCCCAATGTTACCTGACCAGAGCATGACTCGACCTAACATAATTAAATTACTAAACAGCTACACCAATAGCGACTACGCAACTACAAGCAGCTCTATTCTTGATACCTGCACGATGCCAAATAGGACATCATTCCAGCAGAAGGGTGAGAAATATTATCATAATAATCAATGCACATAAGTTATATATGTATAAACATAAAATACACATTCTCACACTTCAATCCTATTCAATGACTATCATTCACAATTATACACATGCATACTTTCATACAACAATCATATCTATGTCATGTGACCCACATAAAACTCATCAATTTTCATCAGTGCCTATTTAGAATTATGGATACATCGCTTATACCCCACCAGGAACAACATCTCGGTCGTTCTACCCCGACGATTACTTCACTAGGAACGACACCTTGTCATTCTACCCCAGTGATTACTGCACTAGGAACAACATCTTGTCATTCTACCCCAGTGATTACTCCACTAGGAACACCATCTTGTCATTCTACCCCAGTGATTACTCCACTAGGAACAACATCTTGTCATTCTACCCCAGTGAGTACGAGTTTTGTACATACACATATTTTCATAAAACAATCATATGCACTTAAGACCGTTCTCGCATCTTAATCTCATGCATACTCAAATAATTCATCACATAAGAATTATATCATGATTGCACACACAACACATTCATCAAAGTATTCATACTTTCAACATCATCACTACATTCATCAAGTAGTATACAAGAATCAAATAGATTCATTCACAAATACATATTCATGCATTCTCCCCATACAATCAATATGCATTCACAACATCGTGCCAAACGGCAATGAACTCCATCACAATCATCATACACTTTTAATCAATTTAAGCAATGCATATATTTGCCAAAATGCCACATTTCACAATCGGTCCCACAATCTAGGATTCACGCCATACGGCTACCCACAACATAACATATTACAGCATACAACTATGAATTCAGAAAGATCGATCATAATCGAGCCAATCAATCAACATTGGATGGAAACACAACAAGAAATAAGAATGCTGTCACACTCGCTACACCCCTCTCTTAGCGAGTCCTTGGCGAACACTCGCTACTGGTTCGCCTAGCGAACAAGCTCGCGAAGCCAAACAGAAGCTACTGGAAGGATTCGCTACCTACTCGCTGAAGCCTCGCCTAGCGAACAACTCGCTTCTAGCGAAAAGGATCATTCCATTCAGCCCAAGTCTGGGTACGTTCGCTGGCAGCTCGCTACCAGCTCGCTTAGCGAACGAATCGCTACTCTGCTCGCCTAGCGAACATGCTAGCGAGTGTCTGTGTACTCCAAAACCCCAATTGTCCAAAACTCTCCGAAACTTCCACAATTACCCGATTTCCACCAAACCAGTTCCAATAGTCTTAGTCTAACATTCCTCGACTAAACTACACCATTAATTCCAGATTCTAACCGTTAAATCATCGATTTCTATGGATTAAACCATTTCTGACCTAGAATGGGAAAAGATGGAAAACATCCAAACAATCCAAAACACACACATACATAATCACACACATTGATAGAATAATAAGATTTCACACCCTTACCCGATTAAATCGACTCCTAAGGGTTGATCTTGAGCTGTCCAAGCTTTTCCTCTATTCTCCTTCCCTTTTCTCTTCTTCCTCTTTTTTTCTCTTCTTTTTTCTCTTCTTTCTATTTCTATCTCTTTTCTTCTCCACTTTCTCTTATATATATATATATATATATATATATATATATATATATATATATATATATATATATATATATATATATATATATATATATATATATATATATATATATATATATATATATATATATATATATATATATATATATATATATATATATATATATATATATATATATATATATATTCTATTTCTCTCTATTATATTTTCTTCTCTCAAAATATCTACCAATTCATTCCTCACAAAATATCTCATCTTATCATTAATTGAGAAATATCTAAAATACTCTCCAACTTAATTTCCCAAAACTCCAAATGATAAAATAGCATAATATGCAAACATAACATATTAACACATTTATTCCACAAATAAAATAATAATCATCCAATTATTCGAATAATTAAATAACCGCAATAAATCAATTAATTAATAGAAATAACTAATTATTAAAAATTGGGCTGTTACAACCCTCCCCCACTTAAAGATTTTTGCCCTCGAAAATTTACCTCAATGCACATAGTCGGATACGAATCTCTCAACTGGTCTCCCACTCCCAAATCCAACTTTCTCCAGCTGGTCCTCCCAACTACCTTCACCAAAGAAATCTCTTTACCTCGAAGTTGCTTCTCGTTCATCAATCTGAACTAGCAATGCCTCAACAGTCAAATCCTCTCTCACTTGTACACCATCTATCTGAATGAATGCACTTGCACTTCCTCAACTTAGGCACATATCAAATCATGTAAATTCATAAGCGACAACGGTAAAACGATCTAACATGCTACTTATCCCACGCTCCCGCTGCGCCACTCTGATACAAATCAACAAAACACGGTGTGTGCTTTCAAGACTTCAAAGCTCGACCAGCACCAGTCACCACTGTAACTCTCAAAACACGTCTTTTCTTGCATCTTCTTGATCTTTTTAGTCGTCTCTTACACAATTCTCAGGTCCGTGCACAACACTCTCGCCTGAATCATATCAATACAAAGGAGTCCTACACCTCCTACCATACAAAGCTTCATACGATGTCATCCCGATACTAGAATGATAGCGGTTATTGTAGGTAATTCAATCAACGATAATTAACTATCCCACGATCCACCTTGATCCAACACACAAGCTCTCCACAATTCCTCTAAAGACTGGATAGTTCTCTCTGTCCGTCCATCCGTCCACGGATGATAGGCAGAGTTCAACTTCAACATGGTACTCAAAGCGTTTGCAAACTCTCCCAAAATCTCGAAGAAGACTCAGATTCCCATCTG